TATGTTTACCCATTTATACACTTTCCGAATTGCAGTTTCTTAATCCATTATCAGTCTTCCCATTTGCAAAGCTGGTTGAGCAAGCTTACGGGGAACGTATATATCTGAATAGCTTGGTTTTCATTTCTGTTCCAATTTATGTATTGAATATTCTTTCTTAATCATTTACATCATATTAGTGTTCACTGGAAATGGTAGATAATCACGGATTAAAGCTCATCTGTAACCATTCAAGATTGTGGTCAACATTATAACTTACTTACTTACTTACGCCTGGTACTCCCAATGGAGCATAGGCCGCCGACCAGCAATCTCCAACCCGCTCTGTCTTGGACCTTTCTCTCTAGTTCTATCCAATTTTTGTTCATTCTTCTCATGTCTGTCTCCATTTCTCGACGTAATGTGTTCTTTGGTCTTCCTCTTCTCCTTTGGCCTTAAGGATTCCATGTGAGAGCTTGTCTTGTGACACAGTTGGGTAATTTCCTCAAAGTGTGCCGGAAAAAATTATCCAACCGCTATGCAGGTCAACATTACAAGCTGTTAGTCAAATATGAGGAAATTCGAATACTTCAATTCTATTTGATTTTGTGCTGATGATGTTGTTCGGAAAGGTAATGAATGCTTTACGATCAAATCATCCAGTTCAGAAAACAAAATTCCATTAAACGTTATTACTGATACTGTAGTGAAGGAGAACATCAGTGTAGGACAACCTAATGTATTTTAATACATTACAGAATATCATGATAAGATCTGAGATCCATGCAGTATATACTTGATTTAAAAAATATCCGTCAAGGGTCTATGACTTTGTTGTTCTTCCGTTCTTACACCAGTCATTCTGTGTTCTTGTTCTGTTCTCTTCGAATTTCTCAAATTTCTGTCAAAAATTTCACTTTCGATTAGTGATATATACTACTTATATCTACCGATATCAGTAGCACAAACTACAATACAAGTAATTCATTATACTGTCAGTAGTACAAATAATTTTTGAAATGGTTCATGGTGGATCCGATAAACTATGTGTTGAAAGGTTTGTACTTTTCAGACTACGTTTGATCAATATCTGTAAGCATAAAGATGTTCCATGAGTTAATGTTTCTACATTGATAACGGTTACAAAGTTGAACAGATTTCTAGCAGTCTGATAGTGAACACTAACAATTAAATGTAGTTATAATCATTTGATGAATCATAAGTAGGTTGAGACACTATCTACATTCTACGGTTAGTCACAAATGAAAAGCGATTGAATTTGTTTAAATTAATTTGTTCCATATAACTTGTCTGATAAGCAAAAATGGATAGTGGCTAGCAGTGAAATTCAGGACAAGTGTTCCATCTTATTTAGGATTCGTCAAATAGGTATATCTGTATCACAGAGTTGATGTTCACTGTGGGACTCGAACCCAGTATTGTTTACGCCATCTCGAACAAGCAAGTGGCTATCAAGACTCAGTAGCTAAGTCTTAGAGTGAACATCAACTCTGAGATACAGGTACATCCATTTCATGAATCCCAAATAGGTCGAAACACGTCCTGGATTCCACTGCTAGCCATTATTCATCTTTGCTTATAATACTTGTTACTAAAAGCAATATCGAGGCAATGCACACAGCATGCACATATGCCAATTACAGACTGATCAATTTCTGTCTTAAACATCAATAGGAAGATTTAATTAAACACTACCAAGTGAATATAATCTTCACCATATCATACAAGAAAGTGGTTATCAGGACTCAGTAGTTAAGTGGATAATGTGATAGCGTTTGAAGCGAACGTTACTGGGTCCAAGTCCCAAAGTGAACATCAACTCTGAGATGCAGGTACATCCAGCTGACTTGTTACAAATGGGACGAAACGCTCATCCTGCATTCCATTGCTTATAAAAAATGAACTCGTCAAGTAAACCAATCTTATGTCGGTTTGAGTTATTTGAATTCAGGTTTGTGTAGATAGATAGGTAGGTAGGTAGATATATAGATACAAGGGTAGGTAGGTAGGTAGATTCATAGATAGATAGATAGATGGATAGATAGATAGATGGCTAGATAGGTAGGTAGATAGATAGATATTACAAACAAATTAGATTGGTTCATTTTGTTTTAACCAATCAAAGTTTGAGTAATGAAAGGGAAGAAGAACACTTTCCTTATGTTGATAATGATCTTCGAAATTGTAATTTTTACAATATCCATTGTAATCTCATTATTATTATATGGACGAAATAGATTGTTATAAGAGAAGTAAGCGGAATTTATATTCATGTTATTATATTATTTCATGGTTCAAATCACTAATTAAGTTTAGTTAGTTAACCATTACAAAACTAGGAAGCATTGGATAGCTATCTTTTAGTACAGAAATATGAGACAATGATCCTACATTTGGAAATCGAACCCAGGACCTTTGATCTCACTTGCGAATCATTAACCTCTAAGATCACTGACGTGAGATTCAATGGTGTGAGTGTTCAATTTTAATCAATTCACGATGCTGAACAATCCTTATCCATTTCTCGTGATGGATAATTGTCTCACGCAGAACATACATTGAACTCTACTAGTCACGGCTTTATACTTGAACTCCAGAGAATAGTCACCAATGAGCTTATGATAGATGTCTGTTTAATGAATGAAGGAATAATAATTAGAATATATCAATGCAAATATTCGTGAAGGTTACTGGATGTAATTTATATCTAACTTAAATCAGTTCATAATATCAATAACATTTGAGAATCTCCACCAATCTATACATTGACAATCAGTAAGTAATATTTCTTCAATTTTTGATTAAGTACACGTTTTACACAGTTATGCCTATTTTGGATAAATAGAAAAATATTGGAAGGGGGTTTTGTGGAGATTTTAGTAATTTTATATAGTTGAAATCATAAGTCAATTGAAGCTAAACCACCATGGAAAACCTTGAAGCAATGAACGGCCGTTTCGTCCTATTGTTGGATGGTTTATTAGTGTGCATTCATGATCCCAACTCGCGAGACTCCAACCCATGACATATCAGTCTCAAGCGGGAGCACCTAACCTCTAGACCACTGAGCCAGCTGGAATCCAATGGTGTTAATGTGTAACTTCAACCAATCCACGAAATTGAGCAGCCAATCACCAATTGTCTTTAGTGAGTTGATATCTCCCAACAGACCTGGTTGAACTTTACTGATGGCTAAGCGCTCGCGCGCGAGACTGATAGGTCCTAATTTCAAAGCTCGCGAGGCGGAATTGTGGATATGTACTCCTGAGGAGTCCCACAATAGGACGAAACGGCCGTCCAGTGCTTTCAGGTCTTCCAAGGTGGTCTAGCATCAATTGACTCATGATTTGAACTTTATATGAAAAATTCTAATTTACTCAAACTGAGGCTACATTTTACTATCATGTGATGTCTTATCATTATACTTAACCAACTTTGTTCGGGATAGGTATGAAAAGGTGTTTGCACTTGTAGCCAATAAGTTAAAAGCTATTTCACTTTACCCACTGACTATTCACTACTACAAGGAGTGCTGAGAATCTATGTTTCTTATGAACATAACTAACTTACTTAAGTTTGTTACTACTCGTGAAGCATAGGTCGCTTACCAAGATTCTCCAACCAAATCTGTTTTGGACAATCCTTTCTAGTTGTTTCCAATTGCTGTTAAGTCTTATGATGTTCGCTTGCGGTTAACATTGCAATATGTTCCTTGGTCTTCTTTTTTTACTTTTCCCTTCAGGATTCTAAGTTAGGGGACTTGCCTCGTGTTACATTTTGATGATTTCCATAATATTTGTTTTATCTGCCTTCAGAGTCTTTTCCTCATTTCCTCTTCAACTGAAAGCTGGTTTGTTCTCTTCTACAGTAGGTTGTTGCTGTTGGTATCCGACCGACGGAAATTGAGTATCTTGCGTAGATACTTATCCTTTTTGATGATAGTGGTAGATATTCTTCAAGTTTTACCTGTGGTAACTGTTACTCTGCTCATTTCAAGGTGCATTGAACTCGTAACTTTCGAAAAATTCTTGATTTATACTATGAGCCATCAAAACTGCTCTAAATAACAATGATTCAACTCCTGGCCATAGTAACATTGTGAAGCCTCGTAAACCCTTCTAGAGAAGAATGCTAAATCAAAGCAATGCACAAATACCGGGGCTCAATAGCTGTTTTGGCATTCTTTGGGGGCAGAATCATTTCATCTTTCTTACATTCTTTCTTTTCTCTTTTCTTGAGCAGAATCACTCTTTCTTTCTTTTTTGGGCGGTAGACTCATTCTTTTTTTTCTTTTTGAACCAATAATTATTGTACATTGATTCTTTATAGCCATCATAATGAATTGTGGGTATAGGTAGAGTGGATAATTAAGTCGATCTCCATAACCCAGGTTACCGCTCACGTTAGTTCATAGGAACGGTCCGACTAGCCCGGAGGCACGACAAGGACGAGTAAGTCGGGTTTAAATGATTTCTTTTCTAGTTACTGATGTTTTTGGCAAGATTTTGTTTTCTACTGAATAAGATTACTAACCCTTTACTCAACCTTTTTCCTTTACTCAGGTTTCAGATCGACGCCAACCTCTAGAAGAGTTAAACAAAGTTCCAAGTTTGTCATTATGATTAAAACAATCCATTGAAACATACACAAGTTTTAAAAGATACATATGAAACATTCATAATGAACGATTTTGCTTTATAACTAATGAAAGAACTACAATCATACTACTCACTAATCCTTTCATCTTCTATTCAATTCAATTCATAATCATCAAAATATCACAAATCATATTGAGTCAATTATAGGATCTAGTCCAAGTACTATTCAATGGAATTCTTTTGAATACATCAGTCAATTACAATATCACAAAGCATATTGAGTCAATTATAGGATCTAGTCCAAGTATTATTCAATGGAATTCTTTTGAATACATCAATCAATCATAAATCATAAATTATTCAATATACTACTTATTAGTAATTATAGATTTAGATAAGAATATGCAAAAGGAATTCAATCCAATCCATCATTATGATAAACAATTAATTACAAATAAAGATCATATTAATAATAATAGTAATAATAGTAATCGTAGTAATAGTAATGTTTCCGGGTCATTACTGACACCTCATCCCATTGTAACCATAGCAACAAACCATAATGATCGTACAAGAATACAACACCACAATATGCATGATCCTTATTATAAATTATTAATGATATGGAATAGTATAATTACAATTTTATTGATTATTTTTATAATTCTTTTCTATTTTCATTATTATTATAAATTGAATAAAAAATTACAATGGATAGAAGAAGAATTAATCAATAATTTGGAATATAATGATCCTGATCATGTTTATCATGATTTGCATCATGATCCTCCTCCTCCTAATCATCTTGATCATCATATTAATAATAATAATAATAATAGTTATGATCGCGATCAAAGATTATTGTTAACAACAATAGATACTAATATTTGGAATGATGAAAGACATGGTAATCATAAAGGAGATGATCATCAATATCCACTGAAGAAATCATTATTATTTAATAGGAGAAAGAGTAATAAATTATGGCCATCGATGAATGTGAGTTCCTTTTTTAAAAAGGAATAACTTTATTCCATATAATAATCAGAATGGTGGTGGGGGTTTTGGGTGGAGATTATTGATTTTATGAGTCAATTTAAGATAAATTATAATTGAAAATCTGGAAGTACTAGAGAGTTTAGTGATTTAGAGGTTAAGAATTTGTATGTGAGACTGGAGGTCTTTGATTCGAGTCTTGAGTGAAAGATCGTGGACGCTCACTGGTTAGGACGAAACAACTGTCCAGTGCATCCAGGATTTCAACGATGGTTTAGGTTAAACCAATAATCAATAATTTGGAATATAATGATCCTGATCATGTTTATCATGATTTGCATCATGATCCTCCTCCTCCTAATCATCTTGATCATCATATTAATAATAATAATAATAATAGTTATGATCGCGATCAAAGATTATTGTTAACAACAATAGATACTAATATTTGGAATGATGAAAGACATGGTAATCATAAAGGAGATGATCATCAATATCCACTGAAGAAATCATTATTATTTAATAGGAGAAAGAGTAATAAATTATGGCCATCGATGAATGTGAGTTCCTTTTTTAAAAAGGAATAACTTTATTCCATATAATAATCAGAATGGTGGTGGGGGTTTTGGGTGGAGATTATTGATTTTATGAGTCAATTTAAGATAAATTATAATTGAAAATCTGGAAGTACTAGAGAGTTTAGTGATTTAGAGGTTAAGAATTTGTATGTGAGACTGGAGGTCTTTGATTCGAGTCTTGAGTGAAAGATCGTGGACGCTCACTGGTTAGGACGAAACAACTGTCCAGTGCATCCAGGATTTCAACGATGGTTTAGGTTAAACCAATAATCAATAATTTGGAATATAATGATCCTGATCATCTTTATCATGATTCGCATCATGATCCTCCTCCTAATCATCTTGATCATCATATTAATAATAATAATAATAATAGTTATGATCGCGATCAAAGATTATTGTTAACAACAATAGATACTAATATTTGGAATGATGAAAGACATGGTAATCATAAAGGAGATGATCATCAATATCCACTGAAGAAATCATTATTATTTAATAGGAGAAAGAGTAATAAATTATGGCCATCGATGAATGTGAGTTCCTTTTTTAAAAAGGAATAACTTTATTCCATATAATAATCAGAATGGTGGTGGGGGTTTTGGGTGGAGATTATTGATTTTATGAGTCAATTTAAGATAAATTATAATTGAAAATCTGGAAGTACTAGAGAGTTTAGTGATTTAGAGGTTAAGAATTTGTATGTGAGACTGGAGGTCTTTGATTCGAGTCTTGAGTGAAAGATCGTGGACGCTCACTGGTTAGGACGAAACAACTGTCCAGTGCATCCAGGATTTCAACGATGGTTTAGGTTAAACCAATAATCAATAATTTGGAATATAATGATCCTAATCATCATAATCCTCACCCTTATGATTCTCCTCCTCCCGATCATCATCCTCATATTAATGTTAATAATAATGATAGTTATGATCATGATCAAAGATCCTAATGTTTGGAATAATGAAAGGCATGATAATCACCATAAACAAGATAATCATGTGTATCTAGTAAAGAAATCATTAATATTTAAAAATAGAAAAAGTAATAAATTATGGCCATCAGTGTATGTGAGTTTTAAAGAAAAACAAAAAAAAATAACCTTATTCTATAATGATAAATATCAGAATGGTTGGGGGGGGAGGGCAGTTTGTGGAGATTATTGAATTAATGAGTTGATCTAAGATAGATTATCATTGAAAATCTGGAGAGTACTAGACTAGTTCAGTGATCTAAAGGTTAAGAGTTTGTGTTTGAAACTGCAGGTCTTTGGTTCGAGTCTTGAGTGAGTGATCATGGATGCTCACTGCTGAGGAGTCCCACAAGAAGATGAAACGACCGTTCAGTGCTCCCAGGTTTTCCATGGTAGTTTAGCTCTCATTGAATCATGATCTCAACTATTAAGATATTCATTTACATTAAATAATGATAATATTCAATTGAAAGTTTTAAATATAAAATTTCGCTTTATTCTACATTTCTATTCAGAGGGATTATCTACATACTAATCAAAATAAAACTCAAATTATCAGCAGATATTCATCATTTCAGTCATTACAATAACCGTTATGATGATTGGTATGTCATAGTAACTGAATACATCATTGACGGACCATTGATAAGAAACCAATGAAATTGGGGGAATATTAGACAATTAATTTTTATTATAATGTAACTAATCACCAATAAGCATCTGCGACTACTATAGGGATCGAACCCAGCTGTGTTCGATATCTTCTTTTGTTCTCTCAGTATCCTGAAACCCATGTGAACCATTGGTTTGAAAATGAGGGTTTTCCAACTCCCCTAGATGGACCCTCTGTGTCCACCAACCTGGTTAAAGCACCGGATATTTGCTTTTCATTCTCTCAATTTCGTAAACAACAATTATACCGCAAGAATCTAGTGAGTAGGACTTCTTTGGTAGTGGTTATGTGCATGCGGACATGTGAGAGCATCGAGAGAGAGAGCTGACTCTCTCCACTCTCTACTGTACCAGGGTATTCGGAGGCTATTTTTTGAGGCCGGTGACATCTGATATTCCCAGCCGGTCACCCATGCAAGCACTGACCGAGCTCAACGTTGCTTAACTGCGGTGGTCAGACGAGAACCGATGTCTTTAACAATAATCTAGTGCTTCTAAGTTTTCAATAATGATTCTAGCTAAGATCAATTCATAATTTCAATAATGAAAATTCTACAACTCCCTCAAATTCCCCCCCTCCACTATACTAATTATTATATTATCAGTAAACAAAAATGATTGGTAAAAGCACTTGACCTCTTTTTTTTACATATTAATTATACACATCAAATTTCTTATGTTTCTGGTTAGAATTTAGATCTAGATAGAGGGAGTAAAGTATATCTACATAAGAGAGTTAAAGATGAGCAACCATATAGAGAATGAGTGTTGGCCTACTAAACAACACCACCACCACCAACAACAACAACATAAATTAGGTCAATTTTAATTTCATTTATTACAATCATTCCCCCCTCAACCTCCTCATCCCCCCCACCAAAGAAAAGCAACATAATTGAAGAGAAATATTACAAAAAAAAAGAGATTTTATTGAGGTCATTGTTTGTTTATTTTTCAGATGAGTTAGGGAAAAGAGTTGGTAACGAGGGAAGAAACAATAAAATGAAATTAACTTTGTAGATATTACAATTATCATTATGATTACCATTCAAGTATCTAATAAATCAGATTAGTAAACATACAATTATCATAAACAATGATGAATAGTGACTAGCAGTGAAATCCAGGACACGCGCCAGGTCGTCCTATTTGAGACTCATCAAATAGATGTATTCATATCCTAAAGTTGATGTTCATTCCAAGACTTGAACATAGTACCGTTCATTTTGAAAGTTAACATATGATCGACTTAGCTATTGAGTTCTGACAGTCACTAGCTTGTGTAATGTAGTAAAGTTTGAATTCATTTTGTAATGTTTGTTTGGATTTAAGACTGAAATTGATCAGTTTATTATTGACATATGTGTATCCTGTACAGATTGGGTCGATATTGCCTTAAATTACAAGCTGATGAGTCGCGAGTAGGACGAAATGTGCATCCTGGATTCAACTGTTAGCCACTATCTATCGCAGCTTATAATTCTTGTGAATTAAGTCAATATCAAGGCAATAAATAATGTATTTAATGTATGATTTTCATATTTAATGAATGCACTCTGTAATTTCGCACTAAACAATAACTTGGTTATCCCCCCTTGACTCCTCGTCCACTACAATTACATGATAGTTCCTTGAGATTTAGTGGTCATTCGTGACAAGTGGAGCACAAACCTGTTAGACATAAGGCTTCTACCGACCAGCGGAATTGGTTGGGTGATATTGTTGTTTGGTTAGAAATGTTAGAGATATTTAAATATGGATAACGGTTCAGAGGTTTAAAAGTTAAGTGCTCATTAAAAGATCTGGAGGTTCTTGATTTGATCATCCATGATAAACATTCTAAGAATGAACATCAACTCTGAGATGCAGGTACATCCAGCTGACGAGTCCCAAATGGGACGAAACGCGCGTCCTCGATTCCACTGCTAGCCACTATACATCTTTGCTTACCATTCTAAGAAGCTAGTTTAGAAAAATGTATTGACATAAAGAAATCGTTACAGCATTTAATGTTCATTGTCAAATAGTTGAGATCATGAGTCATTTGAAACTAGACCACTATGGAAAAACTGGAAGCACTGGACGGCTGTTTCGTCTTATAGTGCGACTCCTCAGTGGCAGTGCGCATCTACGATCCCACTTCCAGGTTTTCCAGGATGGTCTAGTTTCAACTGAATCATAATCTCAACTATTAAAATTACTATAATGTCCACAAAATCTCCTTCTGATAATAAAAAGTTAGACATTACCACCGTTGTATGCCGGCTCAGTAGTCTATCGGTTAAGTGCGATGGCGCGAGACTGATAGGTTCTGGGTTCGAATCTCATGAGGCGGGATCGTGGAGCGCACTGCCGAGGAGTCCGATAATGGAACGAAACGGCTGTCCAGTGCTTACAAGTTCTTCATGGTGGTCTAACTTCAATTGACTCATGGTTTCAACTACGAAAATAAAAAAATTGTTTGTTTTAATTTTATTAACATTTTGGTTTCTATATTTAATTTTTATAGATTGATATGTTTCGTGATATTTGTCGTGGTCTATCAATTGATTGTAATGAAATGAAATTTTATGAAGGTAAACCCGGACCTCCAGGTAAATGTTAATTATTGAATATGATGAACTCATGTTAGGTTTTTAGTTTTAATGAAGATGAACAGGAGTATCCTCATAGTACGGTACTTTTCAGTGGCTTATATTTGCGAGTTTGAAACCAGCAATCAAACCATGAGTCTTCAGTCTCCCACGCGAACACCACCTGTGAACGAATAAGCCGGAATTCGATGGTGCAAATGTTTACCTTCAACCAATCCACGACATTGTATGACCATAATCCAGTGTCTTGTGCAATTCTCATCCTAACATTCCGCTTATCACGGCTTCTCATTTCATAATTCCATAATGTTGATTATCGTGTGTCCTCTAGTGAGGGGGGGTTTCATAGATTTTTAGTAGGAATCTGTAACCAGTGAAGTTCCATCACTTTAGGTGTGACGATAGTACTTATCGACGACGGATGAAGTGTTCGCGTGGGTGACTGAAGATTTATGGTTTGATTTCAGGTCTCAAACTCGTAAAATATGAGTCACTGAATAGTACCATACAATGACGATACTCCTATTTAGTGCTTCTAGGTTTCAATAGTTGTCTTAGTTATATTGGTCAGCAATTTCAATGAAATTCGATGGTCATCAAAACCCTATACTGGTATTTATAATTACTTAATAAGTTTGGAAGTCTGTCGTTGGAAAGTTTGGTAATTTTATGTATTGCAAGTAGGTTATTCAACAATTCCAAGGATAAAAAAAGAATTATCAGGTGGAAATATATCACAGATGTTAAGTATGAAAAACCCGACTCACACGTCCACATCCTCATGTAGAAGGTATACGTGTGGTGTCGTACAATAGAATTGTTAGCTGATGTATTACCTTCCCTATGTCTAATAAAATCAGCGACCTAATCTCTGAGGTCGAAGATATAATTGAAAGACATGTTAGCAAATACTAAAGAGAGGCGATCAACAACCTACCTGAGAGAAATCTTGTGCTTATGACTGTGTCAGGAAGTACTGGAGCGGTAACCATGGGGTGAATGATGCACATGTAATTTGTAAGAGACAGTCTATTGTAGTAAATATGTTTCAAAGAGAGCGGTGAGCATCTACCTACCCAAGTGGGTGAATATACCTTAATGTATGCTATAGGATGCATCGGATAAATCCTGTATGTTATCGGTGTGCATGCCAGTCAGTCAGTCAGCTACAACGTAGCACCAGGCACATATATGCATCGGTCCAAGTTGCCATACCTCATTGGCATAACAAGACGGACACCGAACTCATAGAAGTGGTTAATTTAGTTGTGGTAATATATAAAAGAAAGGTTGTATATAAAGATATAGTATAGGAAGGAAGACAGTTATGAAACAATTTTAATCTCAAGGTTTAAGTGGAGACAAAGAGTGTATACACCTACGCCATTGTGATCGATTCTGAGCCATATCACCCAGAGTCTCCAACCATTGTTTACGATAGTCGCGCGGATCCCAAACAAGTAGTCTGCATCTACAAACATGGCTCAGACTAGAAGTTAGTGACTTCAAGCACTGGTGCCACGTTTTTGTTTTGGCCTCCCATAACTCTCTTTCAACCATCCCCTATAATAATCATGCATGCAATGTATATTTGCTCACAGTGTAGGTATACCTGTATGTATACCATAAAATACTCAGATAAATGTCCATGTGTTACCTGGTACTCCTTTAGTAAAAGCTTCAAAAATCTCTTACTTGCTCTTGTTACGATGCCTACATACATGCAAAGACCTTTGGGGCCGTAGTTCCCTTCATAACCACATTCGCATGGTGGATTTGTGAACCTTGTAAACAAGGAATCCTTTCCAGAAGGGTCTACAGGTTTCACCAGAATAAGCCTTACAACCAATCTGACCGATACAGTCTATGACCAGTTCTTTTTATTGCAGTTGTATCAAGTTTTACATGACCCTATATGAATTCACTGGAACAATTGAGTTTTGACTAGTCAAGAAAAACTTGCTGTCATTCAAACTGTTACTTCCTTGGTCTTATATCCACTTACGTGCCGAGGATAACTTATCTAATGTAGATTAAGACTTTATCGAAACAATTAGATGTTTCGTAAGCAAAGATGGATAGTGGCTAGCAGTGGAATCGAGGATGCGCGTTTCGTCCGATTTGGGACTCGTCAGCTGGATGTACTGCATCTCAGAGTTGAGAGTGACGTAAAAGCTGATCATTTACAAAATCAGTCACTTGATAGTAATGTCATAACTGTTATCTCATGCCGTTTGTTGTGACTGATCCCTTTTCTCAAATTAAACTAACCAATACCATCTAGTGGAATTGAGAGCATGACCCTTTTAAAAACTGATTCCATGAGAAACTGAAAGAATAAACAATAATAGAAGACAAATTAAACATAAGTTGTAAAGTAAACTACTTCAGTTATGAAAAACATTACGTCGGATAAAGTATTGCCCCCTTCACTATACATAAATACACATTCGCTTAAGTAATTATGTATAGACAACTTCAGATAACAATTAAATTACTCAGCTTAAAGAACAAAAATGTTCTTCGTAAACAACGATAAATAGTGGCTAGCAGTGGAATCCAGGACGTGCGCCACTTCGTTTTATTCGGGACTCGTCAGCTGGATGTACCTGTATCTCAGAGTTGATGTTATTCATCTTTACAAAAATTATTTCATTGTCTTTTTATACTAAAAATATATTATAATTACACACATTATGATGTTATCTTACTTACTTACTCTTGTAGCCCCTCGTGGAAGAGCATGGGACACCCACCAATATTCTCTATCCGAGTCAGTCCCTGACAATCCTTCTCAATTATTACCAGTTGATATTCATCCTTCTGATGTCTGCTTCCATTTCCTGACGTAGCGTGTTCTTGTGACATCCTGTTTTCCGTTTACCTTCAGGATTCAAAGTTAGGGTTTGCTTCATGATTCAGTTTAATGATTTCTTCAATGTATGTCATATACACTTCCATCATTTTTTCCTAATTTCCTTTCCAGTTGGAATCTGGTTTGTTCTCTCCCACAGTGGACTGTTGCTGATGGTATCCGTTCAACAGATATTGAATATCTTTTGTAGATAACTGTTCATAAATACTTGTACCTTTTTGATGATAGTTGTGGTAGTTCTCAAGTTTCAGCAGCGTACAGTAGAATTGTGTTGACGTTTGAATTGATGATTGTGACTTTGATATTGATTACCAGTTGTTTCGAGTTCCATATGTTCTTCAACTGTAGGAATGATGACCTTACTTTCCCAATCCTTGACTTTACATCTGCATCAGATCCTCCTTTTTCAACAATGATGCCGATTAGATACGTGAAAGACACCACCTCTCCTAGAGTTTCTCTATCAATTTTGATTACGTTGGTGTTTGGCGTGTTGTATTTGAGGATCTTGCTTTTTACCTTATGTATGTTGAGGCCAACTGATGCAGAGGTAACCACTACATTAGTTGATGTCGTCACTACATCATTTATTCATTGACACATGCATGTTTTTACCCGAATAATATTTCAAGGTTTGGTCAGCTGTCAATAAACGCTTTACGTTGACATCAAAAGTGAGACTTTTTTATATAGTGAAATCATGAGTTAATTGAAGCTAGACCACCATGGAAAGTCTAGAAGCACTGGACGGCCGTTTCGTCCTATTGTGGGACTCCTCAGTGGCACTGCACATCCACGGTCCCGCCTCACAAGATTCGAATCAATAATCTAACAGTCTCTCGCGCAAGCGATTAACCACTAGACCACTAAGCCGGCATCTAACAATGTTAATGTCTACCTTCAACTAATCTACGAAGTTGAGCAACCATTCACCAATTGTCTTCAGTGAGTTACTACCTCACACCAAACCCGTTTGAGCTTCACTGGTTACTGCTTCTCACTAGAACTCTATGAAATATCTCACGAAGCCAGTCACTAGTGAGCATATGATCGTTATCAGAAAGGGGATTTTGTGGAGAATTTTATTAATTTTTTAACATTTGATATCTTCAGTCAATTGTAGCTAAACCACCATGTAAAACCCTGAAGCACCGGACAGCCATTTCGTCTTATTGTGGGACTACTTAACAGTGCGCATCGACAATTCCGCCTCACGAGATTCAAACCAATGACTTAACAGTCTCGCCCGCGAGCGATTAACCACTAGACCACCTAGCCGGCTGGCATCCAATGATGTTAATATTTAACTTCAACCAATCTACGAAATTGAGCAACCGTCCATCATTGTCTTCAGTGAGTTCCTATCTCACAACAGACCTGGTTAATCTCCGCTGGTTATTCTTTCTTACTAGAACTCCAGGAAATACCTCTTGAAGCTAGTGACCATATTTTTTTCTTATCATAAAGAATTATCAGAAGACAATTTCATTTTATACACCAAACATCCATTCATACAACCAAAATAAAAATAAAACTGGCCAAGAAATAATCAAAAAAAACTAATCAATCAGGTGAAAAGTTCAAAAAATGAGCCAAAAAAACACACACTCAAAAAAGAAAAACTTTATCAACGAGAAAAAACAAAAAAGAAAAAATAGAGAAGAAAAGAGAAGAGAAAAACATTATCATCATTCAATTTAGTTCAAATGAGTGATAATACAAAAAAAAGAAGAAAAAAAGAAAGAAAAACCAGAGAAAAAAAACAAGGAAAAGGGCAGAATGAATCAAAATAAAAAACCTATTTGGGTTGATAAGTTATCGTTTATTCTAAATTAAATTAACTTAATCATTTATGTTAACAAGCAAAATGAAGGAATAATAAATAGGGGTGGGTGGGGGAAGAGGGTGGGGAATGAAAAGTGTCAATAGAGAGAATGAAGAGGGAAGTCTTATCTCATTAAGTGTTCTTTTCTTCTTTCTTTTTTTTTTCTTAACAAAATTTTCCATAAGTGTTTATTATCTTATTCATATTAATTGTCATATATGTCGATCAGTATTAAGAAGGACTTGACAAGCATGACATTGATCACCACCCAATGATCAATCAATTGTGATTACATCTCAG